GAAAGAGTTCACCTTTGTTAAAGCTTCTTTGTGCTACCCCAATGCCTTATGGAGACAGAAGAGAGTTTCAGCCTCCAAAAGATATTTTCCAAAGCCCTAACTTTTATTTACCTAGGAAAAAGCCCTTCAAGGTGCACTTTTGGGAAACACAGTTCAGATATAAGAGGTCTTCAAGATGTTCAAGGCAGGCTGAAGACCAGCTATTAATTTTACACTTCACTGTTGAGGCTTCACGTGGGCTTGTTTCTGCCCTGAATTCTGCCAGCTGTTCTGTTTGGATGGGTCACCCACAGCCATGTGTTGCAAGCTATTCACAGCACTGCAACACTTGGTGACTAAAACCTTAGCTGCTGCAAGTAAATAAGCAATGAGCATAAGGTCAGATCCAAAGGGACAGATCATCCCATGTGCCTTTCACAACTGTGTTTCATTTCAGCAATAAAGTTATGTAGGGCTTTTTTCCCCCCCATAGTGAGCTAATATTTCAGATTTTTTGATTTTAAGATCCATCTAGCAATGTTTTGATACACAAATGTTTTAATCATGCCATTTTAATTATGAAGGAAATGAATCACTGGACAAAATTACTGACAGTGGTTATGGTGGGAACGTTTCCACCCAAGCAGACCAGGAGGTGAATAGGGCTTGGCAAGACAGATATATTCTTGCCTGTGAAGGGAAGACTGGGCCTGTGCCATTCTGGACAAAAGGCAGATGCTGAATGAGCATGACTTGCTTTGAGAAGTGCTGTGTTTAAAAATAGTGCTTTATGGACTAGAAAGGAACGAATACTTTCTAAATGTAGCCATCCTGATCCTAAATGGGTCATGTTGCCACAGTAAAATAGCAGCAGAATGACCTGCCGCTGGGTTTAATCACATGAGGGTCCTCTGCTGAGTAACTTGTATTACTCCAGCAGTGGCCAGGCTGCTGTGAGAGCTGCTGCAGGTCTGCATCAGAGGTAGGGCAAAGCTGGGGCTGCTGCTGGGGGCAGGAGGCTCTGCCACTGCCACATTTCTCTCACCAGGAGTTGCATCTAGTCTCAATGTTGGACAGACATTCAGGGACAGCTTGTAAGGTTCCAAGCAGAGGATGTCCAAAAGCTTAAGGCTCTAAGCAGGTCACTGTACAATTGTTAGGCTGCTTAATTTTGTGTAGGTTGAACCTAAAAGCTGATCTGCAGGCTGGGTTAGAGCCTGAGAGCACACCAGCATGCACAGGCCTTTAGGACAATGTCTGGCAAAGGTTTGTAGCATCTCACAATTCTCTGCAAAGCAGCTGCAAGTTGTGGCACTCCACAATTAATTCAGCAATTTGTTGGTTTTAAAGAACTGACCTCCCATTAACTCCTAACAGCAAACAGGCTGGGGCAGCCTGAGCTGCTTTCAAACATATTGGCTGAATTGAGCTTAACTATCTTCTCCCTGGTTAGAAATCTGGAGTTGATACAGAGGCCAAACTACCTCAAAACCCTGTCCCACTGCATCAGGGTTGAGATGTTTTCCCAGGACATGGCAGAGTGTTCCAGGGTAACTCCTGCACGTGTTGTCCAGGCTGTTCTCTGGGGACATGCCTCACTTGAGTCTGACACTTTCATCACCACCATGTTCACTTCAGAAAAATGTATTTATCCCAGTGGAATGATGTTAGCAGCTATTTTGTTCTTCCACTGCAGAACCCCCACAAAAACTCCCACGGACACCAGAAATAGCACTGATCTCTATTTTTAAATCATTTATTTGCCAGCGGAATTCATTTCATGAAGGGTCAACAGGGTTTGGAGATCAAACTGAATCTGAACCATATAAGGGGTCCAACATGATGAGAAATCTCATCATACAGTGACAGGCCCAAAGCCTTTCTGAGCTATTTCTGCAGATGTCCTGGCTGTTACTGACCCTATGAAGCCCTCCTAAAGCTGCTCATGGCAATGCATACAGTGTTATCCATCGTGCCATGGCCTAACTCTTATTCCAAGATTTGTCATAATTTCATAGTATGTTAAGGGGTTGGAATGGACCTCAGAGATCATCTAGGCCCAACCCCCTGCCCTGGGCAGGGACACCTCCCACCACACCAGGTTGCCCAAGGCTTTATCCAACCTGGCTTTGAACACTGCCAGGGTTGGGGCAGCCACAGCCTCCCTGGGCAACCTGTGCCAGTGTTTCACCACCCTCACAGTAATGAATTGCTTCCTAATAATTAATCTAAATTTCCCTTCTTTCAATTTATCCCCATTACTCCTTGTCCTGTCACTCCAGTTCCTAACAAAGAGTCCCTCTTCAGCTTCTCTGGAGCCCCTTCAGATCCTGGAAAGTTGCTCTGAGGTCTCCACACAACCTTCTCTTCTCCAGGCTGAACAGCCCCAACTTCCTCAGCCTGTCTCTGCAGGGAAGGTGCTCCAGTCCTCTTCTCAGCTTCGTGGCTTCCTCTGGACTTGCTCCAACAATTCCATGTCCTTCTGTTGGGGCCACCAGAGCTGTGTGCAGTACTCCATGTGGGGTTTCACAAGAGCAGAGTAGAAGGGCGGAATCACCTCCCTAGACCTGCTGCCCACAGTCATTTGGTTTCAGCCGAGGACACAGTTGGTTTCTGGGCTGTGAGTGTACCTTGCAGGTCATGGTGAGTTTGTCATCAACCATCACCCCCAAGTCCTTCTCCCAGGGCTGCTCTCAATGACTTCTCTGCCAGCCTATAGGTATTGCTGTTACTCAGGTGTAGGACCTTGCACTTCACTTTGTTGAACATCATAAGGTTGGCATTAGCCACATCTCAAGCTTGTTAAGGTCCCTCTGGATGGCCCATCCCTTCCCTCCAGCATGTCATTTTTATTCTGTGTAGATCCTTTTCACTGTCTCTAGCAGAAACAAGATCTGTCTCCTGCCTCCCTTACCTACCACCATTGTGACATGAGTGTTCCCAGTGAAGGCAGGTGACTGTTTAGCCATGGGCAGAGGCAATGTGTATGAGTCATCAGATGCTCAGACTGCCTAATGTCATCAGACACCTCTGGTTATGCTCCAAAGGACACTCCAGGCAGACTGCTATTGTCCTAGTATGGTGAAAAACTGACCTGGTGTCTCCTGAAGGGCTTCTCTGCCATGGACCAGTATTATTTACCTTCTAATCTGTGGTCTGCACCTTGGAAAGGGCAGCTCTATATTACTGTAGGTCCACAGTCAACCATATTCCAGTCTTGATTGTACTACATACAGCAAAATGAGTTCCCACCCCTCTGAAACCTCTGAATGTTCTTGGAATATAAATGATTTATGCTAAGAATATCAAATAATAACAAAAGCCTTTTTTTTTTCCAAGGGCTTATCTGATTGCAAAAACAACTCAGAAAAATTGAGTTAAAGATTTCTAGCAGAAAGAAAATACTACATTTCGAACAGGAGATAAAAATCTGGTCTGAGAGAGCAGAACAATGTATGAGCTGAGCTGTTGTACAACTGTGTGCCACGTGCATTTGCCTATTCTCAACATGTTTACAGGATTGCTGACAAGCACCACACTGTTTCAGATGGTGGGGCTCACTCTTCCTTTTTGTCACTCTCCCTACATCCATATGCCTGATGGCAACCCCCAACCCTGACAGGCACAGGGATGGAATTTGGGAAAGTGCAGAAGTTTTGAATTACACAGATCATTGTGCAAATCACAGGAAATTAAAAACAATTAATTCCTTGTAAATACAAATGGAGCCAGACTTTCCTTTGATTTATGCTGCCTTTTTACCTTCCCCCAATGCCTTATTTCCCTGTTTTGCCATGGAATCCTGCACGGTCAAGAGGGAAATTCGTGGCTACTACAAACTGTAATACAATACTAAAGACAAATGTTTGGTGACTGCTGATAAAAGAGAAAAGGCCCCATGGTGCATTCTTTTAGCCAACTTATTAGGAGTCTTATTATAAAACACTGTATCTGTTCAGAGAGAGGAAGTTAATCACTGCTCAGGTTCAAGATTATGTAAGCAAAGTAGTCTAAGAGATGAACTGACTTATAATGTGCTCTCAAAGCTGCAGTTACTCCCCAGATAATCCAGGTAGAAGGAGAAATGAGAGAGCAGAGCAAGAGAGACTTTTTTCCTCTCTTTTTCCTTCCACTGCAATGAAAATCAATGAATATTCTATTGGAGCTGAAAGAGCTGCTTGAAAGGCAAACAAGATGGGAGAGAATAGCACAGGTTCCAGCTAAAAATATTCAAAATACTAAATAAAAAATGTCAGTAGAAGGAATGATAAGAAAAACAAGCCAGGCCTCTGCTCCCAGAATGTTAAGTTGTTAGAAAAAAATTGCAACTTTCAAGTCCAGCAGCAAGGCAAAACTACTGAGCATCCTTCACAGTTCAGGGCTTGGAAATTAACACATCCAGTTGATTGGGAATTTGCACTAAAATGCCAGCTGGGTGCTCCAGCCCATGCTGTCAGTGCCATACCCAAGCCAGTGCCTTATCCCAAGACATGCAGTGTTTCCCCTGGGGTGAGTTTTCTCCCACAGACATTCTAGGAAATTCACCCTGCAAGATGAATGGGGCTGCAAGATGTAAGAAGTTCTGAAGAAAAGCCTTCCTGAGGCAGAACTGAAGTACCTGGGGTTCTGCATACAGTTCTGATGTCCTCAGCATAAGAAGGACATGGAATTGTCAGACCAAGTCCAGAGGAAGCCACGAAGCTGAGGACTGGAGCACCTTCCCTACAAAGACAGGCTGAGAAAGTTGGGGCTGTTCAGCCTGGAGAAGGTTGTGTGGAGACCTCAGAGCAACCTGCCAGGATCTGAAAGGGCTACAGGGAAGCTGGAGAGGGAATCTTTGTTAGGAACTGGAGTGATAGGACAAGGAATAATGGGGATAAATTGAAAGAGGAGAAATATAAAGCAGATATTAGGAAGAAGTTTTTTCCTGTGAGGGTGGTGAGACACTGGCACAGGTTGCCCAGGGAGGCTGTGGCTGCCCCAACCCTGGCAGTGTTCAAAGCCAGGTTGGATGGAGCCTTGAGCAGCCTGTTCTGGTGGGAGGTGTCCCTGCCCAGGGCAGGGGGTTGGGACTAGATCTATAAGGTGCATTCCAACCCCTTAACATGCTATGAAACTGTGACATTATGATAGAAGCAGGGGCACATGGGGCTGCCAGGCTCACTCCTCAAGGCCAGCATTTGGCTTGTCTTGCAGGTTTGCAGGGGTTCACTGTGCTTTATGCCAGGAATGTAATCAAACTCCTGCCTCATCACTTTACCTGGAATCCCTTTGTACTTTCACTGAGGCCCAGCATTAGGATCACAGGACAATTCAGGGTGGAGGCGATCTCGGGAGGTGTCCCACACCACTGAACTTATAAAAGAACTGAGTCTTGCCAAGATCCAGCTATCTTAGTTCTTTAGCTCTTGCTGCAGCGAATAGCAAGTGCTTAGAAGAGAAACTAAGAAAAAGGCAAGTTAAGAAGGCACTTTTCCCCTACTTTGCTTTGACAGATTCAGGAGAGCTGCTGAAATGCTGCTCATGCCACATCCCACTGTTTTCACTGGATCTCAATTTTTCCTGTTTAGAGAAGTTCTGCTGGCCTCAGACTTTTCTCCCGTGTTGATAAGCATCATCTTGACATGTTGGAAGCACAGGACACCAGATGTGAGGAATGGAGGTATTGCACAAGTCAGCTTGAGTGTACAGCTGGCACCAAGCAAGAGAGCAACTGAGCCTAACAACACAGAGTAAACTGAAATTTCATGACAAGTAAAGAAAAGAAAAGTAACAATTTCCACAGCAGTAGCCTGAGGGGTCTCTTCTCTTTGTGGATCTTTTGTAAAATATTTCTGGTGCCAGTCTTTAAAAACCATGAAGCAAAGCTCGTGGGTTCTATTGCAGATGACTTGTGAAGAAGAGAGACTTTTAATCATATCAGAAAGCTCCTTCAGGGCTCTGTATTTTATATAATATATAGTTTATTATAAAGTAGATAGGTTATTTCAACAGCCTCACTATTTATGCTCAACTGTAGCTTCTGCAGAACTTTTTGCAAGAGTTTGCAGTCTGAGCCTCATGTGGAAATTGTCAGATGGCAAGTGCAATGCACACTTGCTCCTCTGAATGCCAGAATGGTTTGGGTGGGAAGAGACCTTAAAGCTCATCTCATTCCAAACCCTGCCATGGGTAGGAACACCTTCCACTAGCTCAGGTTGCTCCAAGCTCCATCCAGCCTGGTCTGGAGCACTTCCAGGGATGGAGCATCCACAGCTTCTCTGGGCAACCTGTGCCAGTGTCTCGCCACCCTCACAGGAAAAAACCTCTTCCTAATATCTCATTTAAATTTCCCTCTTTCAATTTAGCCCCATTACTCTTTGTCCTATCAGTCCAGTTCCCAACAGAGTCCCTCTTCAGCTTCCCTGTAGCCCTTTCAGATCCTGGCAGGTTGCTCTGACGTCCTCATGTAACCTTCTCTTCTCCAGGCTAAAAAGCCCCAAGTTTCTCATTCTGTCTTTATAGCGAAGATGCTCCAGTCCTCTTATCATCTTCGTGGCCTCCTCTGGACTTGCTCCAACAGGTCTATGTACTTCTTATCTTGGGGACACTGTCCTTCTCAAAATACCATCCATTTCATCCTGGCTTGAGAAAGCATTTTACCAACAGCTTGGTTCTGAAACACTAACCTCTCAGATTTATTGCAAACACTGTTCCTGTTCAGAAGATGACACAGTGAGTCCTCCCAAGGTGTCCCATCCCCATACCATGCCTGGTAACATTGATAAGGGCTTCCTCATAACTCTCAGCTGCTTGAAAATCCTGACCTAACAGACATGTATGTTCATTCAGGTCTGTTGGGTGGATAGATCCCTGAAACTAACAGAATCAAAAGGGAAAAGAATGTCTTTCAGCCACAGTGTAATTGCAGGTCCCTGGTGGCTAATGCAGCGATAGGAATGTATATGCAGGCCACGCTCTGGCCTTCTACTTAAACAGTTTTTCTTGCCTTCAAATGGATTCAGTTCTCCACTTCAAGAAAATAGATTTTTTTTTCTGGAGTGAAAAGTTGCTAAAAATGCAGCAAAACCCAGCTTATTCTTTTGTGGCTAGATTGGAGTCATGCCTCAGAGTATTTCTCTGCTAAATATAAAGGCCTCAAGGATTTATACATCATTAGATCAGTTAATCCATCAGTGATCAAGCAAATATCCACTGAGGCACATGTGATGAAAATAAATATTGGCATAGCTGAAATAAGAGAGAGTTGGGAAGACTGTTCAGTGGTGAAGAAAGTGTTACTTCTGAGAGATGGGAACAGGTTTCTTTATTCCACTGCAATTATACTTTCAAACACTGATTGCAGATAGAAAGGGAAGAGCTCACAAACACATTTTTCTACCTGGATAGAAACCTCTCTGGATTAAACTCTCCCAGTCCATTAACTACTTCTATTTATAAGCTTTCAATTCATTACTTGGAAATGGAATGATTGGAATACCGAGGGCTGAACTATCTCAGGTCAGCACTGGACTGTGAGAGGTACATTCACATACCTAATTACCATCCCCAGTACCTGTTTGCACATGCAAACACAGGTCTCATTAAACCAGGCTCAGTCCATTACCACTGGCCTGGGAAATCTGACCACAAGTTGCAACCAGGCAACCAAAGATCTTCTCAGTTGTGACTTAATTGCAAACATGTGTCTCTTCCTCCTAGATGTGCCATCTGGGTTGCAAACAGCCTCCCAAGTCACAGCCATTGTGGGGAGCGACGTCTGGCTGACCTGCAGGGCTTCCAAGTACATCTACACACACCTGGCCTGGTACTACCCCTCCTTAGAGGCAGCTCCCAGTGACTCTGTGATCAGGAAAACTGGCAGATATTCCATCTCTTTGACACTGGTCATTCCTAATGTCACGAAGGAGCAGAGTGGCCTCTACAAGTGCCAAGCCCAGAACCAGCACAACAGCACGGACACGCTGGAGCAGCACTCTCAGCTCCTGGTCAGAGGTAGGTGCCAGGGGAGAGTGGCAGTGGGATGTGCTGCTGTCCTGCTGCAGGAGCAGAAGTGCTGTGCATCTGCTGCTCCATTTGAAGCCTTTCAAAGCAGAAGGTGTCCAGCATTTCTTAGGGACTGTCCTGTTACAGACTTTCTGCTCTGATTTGGGGTTTTGTCACGATAGCGTACATGGATTGACACCCAGTCATGCATATTACTCATACAGGCACTGATGAGTCTGGATAAAATATTTGCCTAAGACATTAAGGTGATTTCAGCAGCATTTCATCTTCCTAACTCCATGCTGGGTACAGATGTACTGTTGACTGAGGAGAAAAGGCCTTTCCCACCACGTTAATAACACCAGAACTCTGTAATTTGGGACTGTAACCCCAGATGTATATGAATTTGGTAGAAGACTCTACCCACTCACAGCTGCCAGGATGACAGAGATGCCTAAATAGATTTGGACCTAGCAGATGTAATCCAAAACGTCACTGGTCAAGTGTATAATCAAGTGTTGTGTGCTATTTATTCTGGGTAAGAGGGATGCACTTTGTAGTAAAACCAGTATTTTCTTACTTATGCCCAACCTCCAACTCTTTTATTTTCATAAAAACAGTAAGACTACAGATCCTGAAGCCCAGATTCATTTGCTATGGGAATATAAAGGGCAGGACACTTTTTCGAGTAGAAACTCACTGAAAATTGGTGAATTTTCTTCTCCTTCATAGTGAAGAAAGCGAGTGATCAGCTCTAAACCTCCTCAGGAGAAAATGTGCTGCTGGAATGGGTGGGTTTATTAACTATCTTCCAATGACAAAGAAAAGCCCAAAGCACAGAAAGGGAGCAGAACTGAAGCAGACAGCAGCAAGCCAGGGTGCTGGTCAGTCCTTCAGAAGTTGAATTAGCTGGGATTTTCAAATCGGCTTCTCCACTTCCGTTAACGGCTCATGGGACACTGAAGGGACAGCTGTGCTGCCATGAGCACTTGTCACTAGGTAAAACCCAGGCCATGCAGTGCTGGCTGCATCCTTGTCTGAGTGAATGAGCACATCCCTGTTCAGCCTCCTGTCCCGTGCAGCCAGCAGACCTGTCCCAGGCCCTTCCCCCCATTAGGCACACACACAGAGATGCTCACCCACACCACAGCTGTGGCTAGCACAGCTCTGATACCAGAGTGGGAGGTGATTTATTTTCAGAAACACATGAGCACCTGCCTCTTCCTGAGGTGGGGAGGAAGGGAAAGGATCTCACCCGGGTATTAGGGTTTGGCTGGTCCCCACAGCCAACACCAGAACCACCTGTGAGCATCACCTGACAGCAGGCACTGGGTTTTCTCTGCACTCTGCGTTCCAGCATTTCATTTTCCTCTCCCCTGGAGATATTTTTATTCATTTAGTCAGAGTTCCACCTACACAGACACCTACACAGGATGGCTATGGGAAAAACACAGCTGAACTGGGAATACATCCATGGAGAACTGGCACCATGATCACATTCTCCTGAGAATGACTGGGGTCTGTTATTTGTCTGGCACATGTCAGAGGCAATTATTGGAGAGAACACAGATATAAATGCCTCTCCAAACCAACCCTCCTTCCCCTATTCAAACAAGGTCTTTTCAGTGTTCTAACACCCATCAGTTACTGTCCTTAGTGCAGGTTTTAGGTATGTTTTGTGCTGTGCTTGTGATTTTATTCATTGCTGTCCTCTATCTTTCATAAATGAACACAGAGTGGGGGTTAACATGCCTTGTAGTTAACTACAACTACACTCATGATGGAGGATACAAAACCCTTAGAACTGTTTCCTCCCCCTTTCTTTTTTTTTTTGTGTGTGCACTCTGCATGTGCAACACCCACTCATAGGCCTCTGTCTTCTTCAGAGGATGAGAAAATCTAGGAGGTTTGAGCTGCAGCTGAATCTAAGCTTAGTCAGTTTGAAAATAAACCAAACAACCTCACCCACTCTTCCCATAATCTTTTGGAGGTTTTTGCCACCACTCATTAGCCAAACGTTTGCCATGTCCAGCTCTGAGAGGCCATGCAGAAGGTGATGCCTTCTGAGTGCTGACTGTGGGCTCTTTCCTTTGTGACCGCAGCAAAGGCAGCACCGTACGTGATACAGAACCTCACCGACCTGGAGGTCAACATCAGTGGCAAGATCATACTGGAGTGCAGGGTCAGTGGGACACCAGAGCCACAGATCACGTGGAGGAAGAACGGGTACCCCATCTCAGCAGCCTCAGGTGAGGGGCACTGCGGCGCGCGGGGCTGTGCGGGGCACAGGGTAATGGGCTCACAGGTTCACCACAACACAGGACCTACGGCTCAGACGTGGCTGTCAGGATGTTACTCACAACCTTGGGACACACACAGAAATCCAAGTGTATCAGAGCACTGCAGCAGTCTCCATCTTGGACTGTGAGGTCAAAGGAAGCAGTTGCAGCTTGGCTTCTCCGCAGCCAGCCCAGCAGCCTGCATGCATTACATAGCATCATAAATCAGGGAGCACTGTGTGCTGCTGCTCAGTCTAAGTGTGTGAGACAACAGGTTGTGTACAACACTGAGACACAGAGTATATCTGCTTGACAGGTGGGTCTGACAATACAAGCCTGAACTGTCAGATACTCTGATGGAATATACTGCAGCAAAATGGACAGTCATAGTTTCATGGTTTCATAGTATGTTAAGGGGTTGGAATGGACCTCAGAGATCATCTAGGCCCAACCCCCTGCCTTGGGCAGGGACACCTCCCACCACACCAAGTTGCTCAAGGCTTTATTCAACCTGGCTGTGAACACTGCCAGGGTTGGGGCAGCCACAGACTCCCTGGGCACCCTGTGCCAGTGTCTCCCCACCCTCACAGGAAAAACTTCTGGCACAGATCTCATCTAAATTTCCCCCATTCAATTTCTCCCCATTCCTCCTTGTCCTGTCACTGCAGTTCCTAACACAGAGTCCCTCTGCAGCTCCCCTGGAGCCCC